TGTTTCTGTGATTCTGTGATTCTGTGAATCTTTAAAAAAGTGATGTCATGAGTTTTTTTTCTGTTGACTTAACCCGTTACCGCTTCTAAGTTTATTTACATAGGGTATATTTTCAGGATATTTCTCGAGTCACAATGGATTCTGATACAACACATATTTTATCAAAATCTGTGCCATTCAATTCTAAACCAGCAACCTCTATGCACATATCAATAACTAAAGCAGCGTTCCTTAGGAATAATACAAAAATAGAAATTTAGGCAGCTGGCACTAGAAGACTGGCGCTACAGCACTGTACTCTATAAAACAATCGGCGTTGAAACATGACACTAACGTACCTGATGTTTTAGCACTGGATACCATAGGTCACTGTAATTGCTCTTGACTCCCTTTGTTCCTGCTCCAACCAAATGTAAGTTGTACCATATTTGGTATTTCCATACACATAATGCCCTGCCACCACTGGTCTGACCTGGTCCATCCTAACAATGTCAAAAATGTAAATCTATTCTCCAGATTACACAATTACTTTTACCTTTCAGTGCTCTTCTAGTTTCAGAAAACCTTTGCAAGGTCTTACCAGAGGACTACTTATTACAGAAACTGTGCCCTGCTAAACTACTGTAATTTCCCCATAGCCCCACTGAACAAAAGTTTTCCCAAATCATTTGCAACATGTGATAGTTCTTCTTTATGCTTTGAAGGAACTCACAGGATATTTCATACACAAACATGAAAAAAACCCTTGAGACAGCATTGATTATAACTGATGATATTCTTTAAGCTGCGTTGAAGCACAGCACTAATATAACAGTTGAGATTTAAAGGGAATTAATATGCATAAGATACTGCACTGAAATAAAATGTTTGCACAACCTATGAATCTATGACCATCAGTTTCCTTAAATTATTAAAGACCTCCATTCCATAAACGCTCAGAATAGAAAGAAAGAATTTCTTTTAGAAGCTGCACCTTGCTTCTTCAAGAAGTGGACAGATGCAACATAACCAGGATTTCAGACTCCCAGGAATTCCCACTGTGATTACAGAGCGAGACCAGTAAGGGTTTGGGGTTGCCACAAAGCAGAAAATTTTGTGCATTCACACTGTACTCTGTGCATTTTAAAGTAAGACACCCATTAAAGTACTCGGACAACATCTACATACTCTTTGGACCTTCCAAAGTGTACCCCATCAATTCCAAACACAATCTACGGTTTTGTGTTAGTATGAAGAGCTTCATCTTCCCTACTTCTCCAGCTCTTTGGATACTGTGACCTTGTCTCAGAAAGTTGTAAAATGCCCTTCAAAATTAACAATACCTTACACTAGGATTCTTCATAACTGGCAGGACTTGAACTGCAAGATACAGGCACAGTGTTGGGATCTGTTCCTTCTCTATCACAGCAAAAGGACGAATATAATAAATTTTAAGTGCCAGTCTTTCTTCTGATTTTCAACTGGCATAAGTTGAATTTCATTATGGAAGAAATATGGTTTGGATATAAGTAGGGAGAAACTAATGTCTGATTTTCATTCCTGTGTTCACGATATTTGTTTCTTGCCAACTGAAAAGGTCATTTGCACATAAAGGCAGAATCTACCTGCTTGATGTTCTTTACATTATGGGTCAACTATTACGGTTCAGTTTCTGTTTGACCTGAAATCTAATCTGCTTCTGAAGGCAGTGCAGAGATGGTTCATCCCTTTTTAGAAATATCAATGTTCTAAATACACTCTTTGATCTACTGTATCTTCACAGACTGACATGCCATCCTTGTTGTTTCTGTTTAAAAAACAGATCGATATTAGTTACTCTTGAGAAATACACTAATACCAGTAAGCACTAGCTTATGCTGGTCTATACACTGTCAAACACAGCAGTCGTAGCTGTCGCTAGCTTTTACATGTCTCGTCAGGTGGGAGTGAGATCTTCACATGGTTAGGGTGCACCTTTTAATTTCACATAAAGACAATGACAATACAGCCAATGACTGCAAAACAGGATGAAGACTGTCCTAGTCCTTGTCCTAGCGATGTCCAGACATACATTGCTCTGGTTACCTTATCACTAGTTACACTTCTCTTTCTTTTCGGTTGGTTTGCTGGTAGCAGCACATGCAAGTCAGCAGTTGTGGGCAAACCAGGTTTCACAACTGTCATGAGTGTTTCTTCGGGTATATTGGTTTCCTGTGAACACAAAGGCATATGGCAAATTATAGGACAGCATGCTTTATATTTTACAGAAAATACGTAAGTAACTCCACATGTGTCTTTTGGTCTTTGGTGTTCTGATCCTTAATATTTAGAGGGGATTCCACCAGAAGTTAAAACATGAACAAAGCCAAACATAAATTAACTGAAATGTGAGCTGCTCTTTGAGAATTGGAGGAGCTAAGCATTGTTATCGCATTAAAGAGATTTAGGGGCATCATGGAAGCAAAATGAAGTGGTGTGCAGTTTTAGCAAAACTCTGCAATGGCGGGGCATTTCTACAGTAACATAAAAAAAATTCCTAAGTGATTTAGGATCCTTTGTGGGCCATTCACACACTTAGTACACTTAGAAGGGCATATTCATTACAGTTAACTTTAGCTTAGGGAAGCTACTTTTCCATCTGTGTTTAACGAACAGAGAGAAGTCTTCCAGGGTGAGACTAAGAGCACCTAGGTTCACTTCCTGGAATTGTTATGAATACCTGCAGCCTCCATTGAAAGTCAAGTGCATTCCTTTTCAAAATAGTTTGTGCAAATTTTACTTTTAGTCCCAAATTCCTCCATGTGTTGTATAATAAAGCCAGACAATTCTAATGACAACACCCTGGGCACTTCTTGTAGCCTTCCATTCCCGGATTCTGAAATTCCATTAAATTGTTCATATTCTTTTGTAAATTATTTAATAATTACTACAATGCAAGGGCAATTTTATAAGGGATTAAAACATTTGTTTGACTGACACTCGTCATGGAATGGGTTAAGTTGAGAAAAGTGGGAATTTACTTTAATTTGACATTTGATGTGAATCTTAAAAAAAGGGCAGGAAAAAGTATAAAGTCAAAATTCCAGAACCTGATTTGCACTACTGTAAATCCAGGAAAAGTGATTCCAAACACAAGCATTTTCAAGACTTTATCAGCCTGCACCTCAATACTATTGTCCTCACAAAAAGTCAGTGTGTGCACACTCAGTTGCTGGCAGTGTGTGTACCTGAAGAGCACAGCTCTAGAGCTCACAGTTTTTATGGGGTGCTTTTATGTCTCTCAGAAATGCTGCATGGCTTTGTATTCGATTTAACCTACAGGATTCAGCTGCTCCTGATCCACATTTCTTTCCAAATATAATCTAAAAAACCAGCTGTATGAACTCTTTGCCTATATATAATATAAGATTTTCAGTGTTACACAACTGATGTGATTTTTTTTTCCCTTCTACTTTGTTTTAGCATAAAGCCTATGTCTTTTATATCACACAGCATCCTCTGCTCAACTTCTAAATATATCACATTTAAGCTACTCTTCCTGTTTTGGAGCCAGCATTATTTGTCAATACATCTACCCCTAATCCCAGACAGCATTATTTAGCATTAAATGTCAATTAGGCTGTGTTGGACCTGAACTTCCTGCGTTACAATATCATCGCCTACAGCCTGCACATAAAAGCGACACTAAGCTTGAACTCGTTTGAAATGTGGCTCATGAGGTTCACTTTATTATTTTGCTCTGCCCCCTTTTTTCTAAATGAAAAGGCATTAACTTAACCTTCAAGCTTTACGACTGGTGGGGGAACACTTTATGAGCAATCTGAAAGAGCACCTTTGCAAGAAGTCGTGTTACTACCCGCCCTATGTCCTCCCTCCACTCCGGTATGTCAGGATTGTACATGTCCAGGTGCTTAGTAAACTTCAGAGGAAGAACATGAAAATGATCTAGAAAAACAAAAATGAACATTCTTTAACAAGCAACAAACCACATTGCAAAAACAGTTTTGCAGAAAGAAAAGCTGAAAATATATATTTGGCATTATTTGCTGTGCAGCGCTGCAGTATCTAGGAACCCCACTGCTCTGTGTTGTGTACTCATGCATGGAGTGAGAGTACACTCTTGTCAGGCACTCGATTTCTTCCTGCATTTTCGTCAAGAACATCAAATTTGTGCCTAAAGGTAAAAAAGCAGGAAGAAAAAAAATAAACAAAGCAGATTTACATACATGCTCTGGGGTTATAACCTTCTCAGCAATTTTTCCTTGGGACAACACACCACACAGACATAGCTGCTTTCTTTTACTTGTAATGGCAATGTGCCAATGGATTTTATTCTCACTGAATCATAAACAGGGGGGGTTTGCCCATTACATGTTCCTGTTTTTCATGTAAAATGAATGCCTTATGCATTCCATCAACTAACTCTGAAAATAAGAACAGAAATGATACACCAAAAGCTAACTACTGCCCTCTTCAAAAAAATAAAAACAAGGTACACCCTCAGCATTTTTCTGGATACTGTCCAAAATATCTGGAATACTAGAAATGGGCTGTTCCTCAGTAAACAGTCTCTAAAACCTTCTCTTACTCTATATAGGCTCCTTGGATGAACACCTGGGGAACTTAATGCAAAGCAGAGAAAGAGATCCTCTGGAATGCATGAGTCCAAACTGCTCTCTCCAGTGCTTCCAACAGAATTGTATTTTAATGTGGTTTTCTTTTCAAGAGATGTCTTTGTTTCCCCCATGACTAGTACTTTCTCACTCTTGGTATCAGGATTGGCCAACTCTAAGAGCAGAAGCAGCATTTGAAAGCCAAAGTCATTGATCAAGTCACAGTAAGACAGGCTATACTTCTAAAGATTTCTAAAAAAGCAGATGCACTTAGAAGTGGCAGCATAAATGTTAAATCCATTTATCTTAGGAAAGGAGAAGGTTCATAAAAGCTGAATTTAGCATGAGTATTTTTTTACCATTATTTTAAATTAGTAAGTATACTAAAAGCAAAAATAACAGAATCTTCTTCAGACAATAGAGGTATATCTTGTTGTGTATTTCATGGTATCTGAAGGCTTTTAGCTCTGCATTAAAAAGAAGCTTTTTCACTTATCACAATTCCCACATGTGACAGCACAAATACAAATGTAAATAATTCGTCGGCACTACATTTTTCACAGTATATTGCGCCTTGTCACCACATTATAAGACACAACAAAACACACCAGGGCACAATGTGAAACAAGAGCTGAAGGGTTATTCAATAATTACAGCAGAGCTATACTTGATCCAAACTCTCAGGTAAACATCAAAGGAACAGTGATATATTGCAATAAAAGGCAATGATTTCACATTGTTTTTAATGCTGAGAGTATATACACAACTAAATTATCTTTTTTTTCAGAGGTATTTAAACTACTTTATATATTTCCAAGGAGAAATGGTTAGTGACATGCTACATCACTTAAGACACATGCAAGTCTGTGGGGCTGGATGGGATCCACCCAAGGGTACTGGGGGAGCTGGCAGAAGTGCTCACCAAGCCACTTTCATTTATCAGCAGTCCTGGCTAACCGGCGGGGTCCCAGTTGACTGCAAATTAGCAAATTTGATGCCCGTCTGCAAGAAGGGCTTGAAGGAGGATCCAGGGAGCTACAGGCTTGTCAGTCTGACCTTGGTGCTGGGGTAGGTTACGGAACAGATCATCTTGAGTGCCATCATGCAGCATGTACAGGACAACCAGGTCATCAGGCCCAGTCGGCATGGGTTTATGAAAAGCAGGTCCTGCTTGACTAACCTGATCTCCTTCTGTGACAAGGTGACTCGCTTAGTGGATGAGGGAAAGGCTGTGGATGTTGTCTACCTGGACTTTAGCAAAGCCTTTGATACAGTTTCCCACAGCATTCCCCTGGGGAAACTGGCTGCTCATGGCTCAGACAGTTGTACTCTTCGCTGGGTAAAAAAGTGGCTGGATGGCGGAGCCCCAAGAGTTGTGCTGAATGGAGTTAAATCCAGATGACAGCCGGTCACAAGCGGTGCTCCCCAGGGCTCAGTTTTGGGGCCAGTTCTATTTAATACATTTATCAATGATCTGGACGAGGGGATTGAGCGCACCCTCAGTAAGTTTGCAGACAACACCTAGTTGGGTGGGAGTGTTGATCTGCTTGAAGGTATTTAAAAGACGTGTAGATGTGGCACTTAGGGACATGGTTTAGTGGTGGACTTGGCAGTGCTAGGTTAGTGGTTGGACTTGATGATCATAAAGGTCTTTTCCAACCTAACCAATTCTATGATTCTGTTCTATGATTTTATGAAATTCTAAGAAACTGTCTAGTCATAGGCCAAATACTATTTAAACACCATTGGTACATATAGCGTTCGGGAACCACAGTAACATTTAAAATAAGCAAAGGGAACAAAACATTTCAGATTAAACCCTTCCATACAATCACACTGTCCAATTTCATGGAGTAACCTAGTGACAGTTCATCCCTCTAATTTTAACAATTAAATGTGGCATTGGATATCATTTTGCAACAGGTTCAGTTGTGTCAGGGCTGGTTTAGGATGTGCAAGAAACAAGTATACATGAAACAAACAAAAAAAATTATCAAGAGTAATAATGTCTCACCAAAAACATGGACGACTTTTGAGTCCTGAAGCATGGAGCTCCCACAGGAAGCCTGCACTGTAACTCTGATGTCACCTGTCTCTGCAAACTTTGTCACCAGAAAATTGTCCAATGTAAGTAGTGGCTTTAAAAAACACAGAAAAGTTGAAAACATAATTTCAGCAAGAACCTCAAGAACGGTGTCTGCAGAGACTTGTCACTAAAATATTAATAAAAAAGTTTTCACATCAATTATTGATAATCAACATTGATAATCAACATTTTTTCAAATTGTTCAAATTACAATTATCAATACAGGATGTTTCTTAAGAATGTTTATAAATAGCCGCCAGATGGGGCAAACATTTCTTTTAGAATAATTGGTAGTCTATTAGGTTTTCATTCAGATCCCACTGAAATAAACAGATTTTTATTCAGGCTCACAAATCTCTACAAGATCATATATAGCAAGCCATTTGCCTCAGAAAATGTGGCGTACAGTCAAGGTCAAAAGGATTACTCCTGTTGACTTAGAGCTTGACCCATGGAAAGTGCATCAGCCCACCATAACCTCCAAGGCGGAACTGAGATACTCTGTTCCCTGACTGCATCTGTATGAATTGCAAAACCCTTCACAAGACTACATCAATCTGCAGTGCCTGTTCTAGCAATAGCAAAGTCAATAACAATTAAAAGATACCGGCTGGTATTATGGTAGACAGCACATTTACAAGTAGGAAGTTCATCACGCTTATCTGAAGCGTTCCTTTGTCATACTTAGTCTCCTTCAAAAAGAAAGTATTTCATTTACATGTTATTGAAAGAATTACCTTAAAAAAAATTAACCCAGCTAGACAATAAATATTCTCAATAGAAATACTTGGAGATTTATTGCTCTAGGATATGTTTATCTAGACTTTCTATCCCCAAATGAATATGACTAGATTGTTTGAGTGCTTTCAGTGTTTTGATATCCTTTTAGATATCCCAGTTATTTTTGATACACCAGTTTATTTTACTCACAGGAAATATTTATCTATACTATGAATATATATACTTCTGTACAGCACTTAAATTTAAAGTACTCACATCATCAACCTGGAAGTGCATAAATCGAAGTTTCATCATTCACCAATGCTATGATCCCAAATGCATCTCCCTCCACAAGTTTTTTTCCACAGGTAATGAAATAAATTGTTGCTCCCCCCAAAAGAAAATGGTTTAGAAATTCAAACCAATTCTAGAAGAGAAATTTCCATTTCCACATAAGCAGCAATAAAGCAAAATTAATACCTTAAATGGATGTGATAAAACAAGAGAAGTTAGATACTGCTTGCCACCAGATAAAACTGGCTATTTGGAATGAAAGATGGTCTAAAAGAAGTCATGCAACATGGTAGTATTTCTATTAAAGTAAAAGGTGTCACTCAAACTTCACTGGAAAGAGATTGAAAATAATTTCAGTCAAAACCATTCATGTACCTGAAGATTGTTTCCTATCCACCAGTAGAAGACTGTCAAATTGGGGTTCTTAGGCAGTATGATGGCTGTCAGATTCGCCTCCTGGTTCCTCCCAACAACTGGAACCACTTCTAAATTTAAAGCCTGCAGTGGAGCTGAACAAAGTTCCCAAAATATCATTGAACAAGAATCCATCAATTTATTAAAGCCTCTTTGCCCAAAAGCCTCTCGCCATAAAGTTCTGAATTTATTCTCCCCACTCCCTCCTGCTTCTACCTCTGTCTTGAAAGCTGTGGGCATAATTAGAAGGACCTCATTTCAACAACAACAACAACAACAAAAAAACAAAACCCAAAAAAACCCACACAAAAAATCCCAGAGCAATGTGATGGGTCACTGAAATGCACCTCTCTGAGGCACTACTTTTTTTTTTTTTTTTAAAGTAATAGAAGATTAAATGGATAGAAACCTAACAAATCTCAAACTGCTAACGGAAAAGCAGAAAACTGAAAAAGAATGTTGCTGACTACTCATTTTCATTACAAAATACCAGCTGTTAGGCTCACACCACATGTAAACTCTCATTAATGCATGCTTTAAAATAGATGTGTACATCAGGGGGGCATTTATTCACAAATCAAAAGAGATAAACTCTGTGCTCCAAAATGTGCCTTAGAGTAAGTTTATTCCTTTCTGAACTTTTGCCTATGAAGGCTGCAAATATTATTATTTGTATAAAAGAAACGCATCATTACAATGATTTTATCTGCTTCCTCATTTTGTATTTTGCTTTATAGTACAATAACTTTATTGAGAGAAAATTTTTCCCTTGGAGGTTTCTGAGCATATTTTTGTCAGAACGGCTGGAGGTAAAAACTTTATAATAGCATAATGTGATAATTTGAATTTCTTAACTTCAGCTACACCATCTATCCAGGATACCAAACCATCGTATGGTCCAACATTCATTCATTACACAGAATGAATACTAATCCATCCACTTCTGCTTCATTATAAATACCTTTTAACTCATTCAAAAGTTTTTCAATTCAGTGCATACTTAAAGGTAACTAACACCAGTCCACAGTCTTTCTCTTACTCTCTTTCATTACCTCATTACCTCAATCATTGCCCGTTCACTTCTAATTCACTTTGACTAAACTGATAGAACTTTTCTGAGAGCAAGTTGTCAGAGCTGTGCACATCCTCCTTTTCTACCTCACTTCAACTGGTCTGTGTGCTGCTTCACCTGAATGCAAGGCTCTATTTTCATTCTGTGTTTTCTCTGATGATTCTTTAACCACCTACATGAATTCAAGACATGTTGGTTGCTTAAACAAATGGTTTCTTCAATAGCTTATTTACCAACACAGAGTTAAAATGCTCTTCCTGTTGCTGGTGTCTTCAGGAAAATTCAGAAATTGTAGGAATTCCATTAAATTTGTTCCTCCCAGAAATAGATTTTCCTTCTGACGGTGCAAATTAAAGAAGTTCAGAGGGATCTGCACCACTTTTTTGATTTTGCCATAAATTTACATTTTCCCAGAGGAAACTGATCATTTTGAGATACAGATTTGCTCCTGAAGAAGGTCACTTTCTTTTCCAAAATTTTTAGAGGGGAAGTTGTTTGGTACTTGAATGATGACTGTTATTTCAAGTTTGCCATTGCTACGTATTAAAGAGCTAAAAATAATTATTGTGAGTCCTTGGCTTGTCTCAGTCACACAATTCCATAATGCATTTGAACGAGCTTCATAGCACCCTTAAGTGTATACAATTAGGAATGCACTTGACTTACACGATTTCTGCTTAATGAAGCTACAATTTCAGTACAGTTTTCAAAGCTCCCTGATTATTCACACACTATACAGATTATTATTTCATGAAAAAGAAAATGTATGCCTCGTTCTTTTTATTCTGTGTTACCTACTCACTTTCATACTATCAGACTTGCTTTTTTATAGTTCATTAAGAAGTTGTAGATTGTGTCACCTGGATCAGAAAGCATCGTCTGGATGACAGGTCAAAGTTCATATAATTGTCCTGTGTTACAGGGCATCCCATAGCAACAGAACTTGGCAGGAGTAAAAAATATCCCCTTTACCATTTGTCCCTGAAAAAATTCCCTGGAAATACATCAGCTGGAGATAGAGGGAAAGCAGGACTTTATAGGCATTTCTGCTTTCACAGCATTCCACAGTGAAAAATGTCCCTGAATGGCTATCGTAGAAGTTGCAGTTTAATTAGTGACATCTAAATTCCTCAAATCTTGTAAGTTACCTAAAAAATCAAACAGAGCAAATCATATAAGAAAAATGTATTCAACTGGACTGGGTAACATGCTCCCGTGAGTCTTCTACGCCAAGCGCAGCATCCACAGACAAGCTCAGGAATGGACTGTGTCTGCTTCAGTGCCCTGCTGCCTTTGCACTTCAGCACCAAAGGCCTCTTAATGCAACAGTCATTTTACTTGTGAAAAATAACTCTGGCATCTGCAATTTTTAAATCCACTGCATAAAACACAATCAACATCTTTTATTTTTACTGTTTATCCTGTAGGCGACACCAGAAGCACATTCTGAGAAAGCAGTTGTTATGCATTCCATCAGGGCTTGGTACGGCTCATCATTCTCTGAACGGACAAGTTGTCCTCCTCAGAGAGAAGGACGTTACAGAGGTTTTTTTGCTGTTTGTTGCTTGTACAGATCTATACTGTTCCTGTGCTTAACCTACTTCTCAGCACCTGGGAGAAGTTACTAAAAAGTAACAGTGAAGCCCTAAGTAATTTATCTGAGCTCTCTGGAGTTGTCAAATGATTCAAAAACCAAACACAACAAAGAAACAGATAATGAAACTAAGGCAGAGAATTCAATTCTGATCCTCGACATTTGATTTAATAGGAGATTGTCCATTAGCATTAATACGTTGGGCTCCATCTGCTAATCAGAACTGGAAACTCTGGACTCAAGGACTCTGACTAGCAAAATACATAAATATCAGCAGGCACCAGACAGGCTGACATAAAGCGCACGGATTTGTGCACAGACTTGTTTGTGGTTCCAGTGATTTCCATTGCTTTGGGATTAGGATGGAAGACACACCACTTTCAACAAAGGGAAACAGACACCTGCAGAATGCAAGATGAGTATCTTTTCTTCTGATATTACTTGTCTCTGAATTTTTGACACATCTGAAAACAGGCAAAACAGTACCTGTCTTGAATCTTGAAGGAAGAGGAAAATTCAGTTCCAGCTGTGAGTTTCCTTCTTCATTTTAATTATGAGATGACTGAGGTACATTAAGCTTGCGATGGTGCATGATATTCCCTGTGCCATGCTATTCTTTTCTTTTAAATCTATTTGATAGAGCTTTTTAGGTCTTAATTAAGGAAAGGGAGAGCAGTCTAAGTCAAATAATACTGCCTGCCAACATGAAGTTATACCTAAGTACCACTTTAAAATTTTGTGAGAATTAACTACCTAAATTCTAGATTCTAGTACTTTAAAAAGTAGCCTGACTTTTAGAAACACTGAGATTTTGATTCCTTTTAAAAATTATACAAGACTTTTTACATTTCTCAACATGTCTGTTCACTTGTTTCCCATAGCACCTGGAAGCTCTGAAAAAGACATAGCTTGAAGTGTTAAATTTTAGCTGCTAAGTCTGCCAGTGGGGTGTTGAGCCAAGAAGATGGATCAAGCCCGAGATGTGAACTGAGGCTTGCTATTTAAAAGATTAATACACCATCCTTCTCCTAAATCCAAACAGAACTAACTCTGACCTCCTAATACATGAGGTTTACAAGCCTCTGCATTAACAATGTACAGCACTGCAAGACTGCGTGAGGTTATTGAAAAAAATATGAATATTTCCTAATTGTGACTAGTAATTTTCCTCATTGTTGTCATGAGGTTTTTAGACAGCAGCAAAAATAAGAAAACCAAAGAGCTAATTTACAGTTGACTTGGATGAACATCACAGCCTCATCATGGCCAGCCACATTCTCAGCCTTCACGGAGACACGGTAAATGCCAGGATTCTCATAGCGGTGACGGATGGGTTCTCCAGTCATCGTAAGGTTCACATATATTGCCTTAAAGCCATCTCCAAGATCCACCTGGTATTTAGTATTCAATATATCACCCTAAAAGGAAAATATATCAAAAATATTTTAAATTGCTAAAACCAAAATAGACAGGACACTATTACAACCATTTCCTGAATCACAACAGCATGTCCAGCCCCAGCCAGATATTTTGACTCAATTGCAATAGCTGCAGTAAAATCATGACTTTAGTGCAACAGATGTTGTGTGCATTGATAGACATAAAGCTAAATTTCCACAGTAAGGTACTACCCGAAATGAAGACATCCTAGACCACTAACCAAGCTGTATGACACAGAAACCATCACTCTTGTCTTAAATGCAGCTGGACACTGACATAACAGTGCACAGCAGCCCCAAGTTCTGAAGTGATGCCCATATGATTGCAAACAACATGAATATTGTTATTTTAGCGAATTACCACTCATCCAGTGAACTTCTAGCCTATGCAATTATAAAGCAAAATTAATTGGTTCAGACCTTCTTCACAGCACCTTCTAACCACACCCTCTGAGTGTCAACTATATGGCCTTCAAGATCCAAGCTGGGATCTTCACAGAGTTGTATCGCATCATAGAGAGCTACCAGCATGTCTAGAACTAACATGCTCTACGGCAGAATTAGATGCACACTTAATGAAGCAGATTATTGAGCTGAGTTTGGGAAAAGGTTTAAAAGTCCAGCCAAATAATTCTGTCATGTCAAACATTTCACAGAATTTATAATTCATTGTACTTCTGCTAAGTGCTCCTTTAAATGACAGTGTCTTCCTAAACACAGGCCTAAAATACTGCAAGACTGATACTACTGTGAGAGGACAAACATGCCCATCACTCATGTTATCATGGTGTGAGTGCTGAGGAGAGAAGTCAGGCCTGTGCTACATGGACTGGTGATGTGGATGGAGTCAAGGAAAAATTCATGGTAGCTGTGAACAGCAATACTTTCTCAATACTACGGGCAGCACAGCCTTAGCGAGCTGCCCTTCTTCCTTGGTCTTCAGCAATATGTTCCTGCCCGCTTGCCACAGTACACGGCCACCACAGTCATACAGTTAAAACAGATTGCAGGGCCAGGCTTGGTAGAAAATCCTCTGTATTATGAAAACACAGATTTAAAAATTTTCAATGCCTCTAGGAAAAGAATATATACATCCATATGCTAGCCGGGCAACCTGAATGGCCATAGAGCAGAGCAGGACTGACATCCACCAAAGCATTCAAAAATCACTTCACTTCTCTATAAGGCACTCTCTGAAATTGGTTTATATCAAAATCTAAAAGGCAGCACTAATGTAAAATCAAAGGAGGTAACAAAGCCTAGAACTTACATACCCTGGCATTACAAAGGGAAGGAAAACATACTATTATTTCCTCCTTTTATAATTTTGCAGTTTGGTTGATTTTCTTCCATGTTTTAGCAGATGAAAGAGCACTGCTTATAATGTAAAAGAATACCCATAATAAGGAACCTGCAGGGTTATCAAATAACTAAACACCATATTTCAACACACATAAAGGACCTTGAAAGCTTCTTCACTGTGAATATTTTTTTCCAAATAACATCTTTCTTTTGACATCAGATGGGCAGAATTTGGCAGAGGAGATAATATGTTATTAAAGTTTAAAGCAAAAGAGACATCTTCTTGCAAGCGATGTGCCAGTAAGTGGAATCTCTTTAGACGACATTAGCTTGCAAACAGTTCTTGTTTGTTCTTTCTTATCCTAACAAGTATATACATGCATATTTTTTCCAGGTGAGACAGAAACCAGTGTTGAAAGCCAGTAGATGCAAGCTTCTCAATGTTTTATTCTAATAGCTTCTCTAGTGTAAATATGAGAGTGCTGTCTTCAAAACACCAAGGTACTTCTGTTTCCCTGGCCATGAAAGACAGAGAGCCGTAGAAAGATAACAAGTGTCACACAGGGAAAAGGCAACTAAATTTAAAAGGAATTGGGGCTTCCCTTTCCATGCAAAATAGATGATTGTCATGATATTATTTATCCATATATTCAGACAAAAGAAGTTGGGGAAAAATAATTATAATTATAAATTATTCTTATTCCTAAGGTTACTTGCAAACTGCCCAAACATACCCAAAGCCTGGTTTCTTTACTCCCCGATGTAAAAAAACCTAGTAACATGCATTCACATAAACTAATAAATTAATTTTGTTCAGCAGAGAAAGTGGTACATTTTGGTTTATCCTAATAGAGCTGTTTCTTAAACTCAGCAATTGCTATGAATTCCCATTAGACTTTGTTGTATAGATTAAATCCTAAGTAACGCTCAGGACATTAGAGTATAAATATTATTCTTAGCCATAGGGGGCAGCAAACTGTTACATTTCTTCTAAATCTGCCTTCCAGGTCAATGTACTGAGCAAAGACTTAATCAGAAAATACAACACAGGATTCCCTTCAAGATCCCTGATTTCTGAAGGTTTTTGAATAGTTTTAAATATTTCAGATATTTCCACAGAGATTCATGTAAGCTTCAGAATCTACATAGTAGGAGAAAAATCAAACTGCCAATCAAAATCGTTTGAGTCCAAATTGCTACCAAATGCTCTATTCTTATAATAAACATTTCCAAACAAATAATAAAAAGAGAAGGCAGCATTAACTTGCCACACAGCTATTGGGGCATTGCAAGCACTGGGACACAGAGCCTGCAAAGCGTTAAGCAGCCCGGTGTTCTGCACGTAACCTTCTTCATTCCATTACAGAAATAAATCCCAAGCGCCCAATTTATATCACACAGGTTTGCTAAAATGTGTGAACTGTCTTCTTGCAAATCAGTGGGGTTAGTCAGTACGTACAGTACTCCAGTAACCTGAGCATAACAGTTAGAGCCTAATGCTAAAAAGCAAGCATTAAGAAAGACACCCACGGCAAACAATTCATCCAAAAGTTACTTGCTGCTGTTGGTCAGGGCCTTAGGGAATTGCCTCTCTCAATAAAAAGAAAAAAAAAAATGTACTTTTGGCAACACAACTAATATATAATAAACATTCTCACACTGTGCTTTTTGCTGATTTCTGTAAAGCTTTGCCTGATTCCTTTCTGAAAGGCAGATTCTCAAAACCAGAATAGTAAATGTTCTCTGCATTTCTGTTCTTCTCTGATACAGCAGTTGAAATTTTCACTCCAAGAAGACTTTGGTAATTTAGTTCCTTTGATTTTCAAAGAAGCCGATACCTTTAAGGAATCATGACTGACCATGCTGCTGAGGAGACAAATCCCATTCTGTGGACAGAACTTGGTGGTTCACTGAGCTTACTGGATTGTCTGATACACTTGAAAACAGAAGTTTCAATATTTAGAGTCATTTGTCTCAAGCACAACTTAATCTCATACAGGAGTCAAATAGTTAGGAGAGAAAGGAACTGTAAAAATAGGGAGGAAACTTTCATAAAGCCAATATTCATTACTACCTGCTCTTGCCTGACGATGAATGTGATGTCTTCCCCAGGCTTAACAGCCAGGCTTTCTTCTCTGATGCTGATCTGAAGTCCCTTGGGAGCAATCAATGGACACATATGCTGTGCTAAGTTCTGCTGCAGGTCTATGCCACCTTCACACACATTAGAAACAACTTTCCTGTACCTGCAAAAACAGTAAGCAACGAGCACAATGAATCAGAGGTGAGCAAGGAGAATGCCATCAGAGGCACTGAATGCAAGTGTGATGATAACCAATGAATATTCCTTGGCTTCACGGTCAAAACCAAGTCATGATGCAAACACTTCGATGACGGACAGTGTCTTTAGTGAGTAAAACCTGTTGAAGAAAGAGTGCGGCGCACAAT